GAACTGCCCATTGGTTCGACAGCCCATTGGTTCGACATCCCATTGTTCCGACAATATTAAACTCATTGTTCCGAAGTCCTTTCCGAAATCATCATGATGCCCTGTGGTTAAGGTCTGGTTAGGCTTATTCCCACCGGGCGACAAAGGTGGATGTGACACAAATGATGTGAAATATGTGTATTAAGTGGTGCGAATTAAGCCAGTAGTGCGATTTCGTATCATATGCTTATTCGCGAGAGTTGAAAAACCTAAATTTCAGTGACAAATTCATGCTGCGATAGCCAATCAGCAGTGAGATCCTCCAGGGACGTATGACCCTGAGGACATACTAGTGGAAGTTCCTTCATCCAAATTTCACACGCGTATGGCGTAAGTTTTTTGTGCATATGAAGTGAGTCAACACGAAATATTCTAGCCTAAAATGCGCGTGAGTAATGCAAAATGAAAATTTGCCTTGCATTTGGTGTTAACACATTACAGGATAATTCTCTGTAGGCTTGCTGTCCCCCCCCCCCTCGCTTCCAGTCATTATGCTAAGCTAGTGAAGAACTTCCCAGCTCTAGATGCATGCTGAATGCACAGATATGAGAGTGTTTCAGACCTTTCACTGAACTTCGGCAAGAAGGCAAACAAGCATATTCTCAGTCATTTTGACAAATACTGTTATTTTTCTGGTGAGCCGTCACATATTGAGCACTGGCTCCCTTCTAAGTACACATAGTTTAATTAAAAAAATTCCGACTCACTTGTGCTTTCATTTAACAAAACTGATGGAGGAAATGGTGCAGTGTAAATCCAGATAGCAGCAGGTCATTTATTTGTTGTCCTGAAGCCATAGGATGGTGAGTTTTGGTTTAGACACATCCATGGCCGGGGGAGTCGCTGTCTCATCATCTGCACAAAGTTAGTTAGAACACATTTCCTACATCATTTCATTGCTGCATTGCACCAAAGTCTCTCGGGCTGCTTTACATCGCTGTGCAGCATGTTCGAATGACGGATCCAGACTGATGTTTTATCTAATCCCGCAGAGCAAAGGTGAGCAGAAACACCATACATCAACCTGCCACACTCTATTTGGGCACTTAACCCAGTCTCAACACCTCAGTGTATGCTTTCCACTCCAGGGACTGCAGATACAAATAGAGTAGCATGTTCAGCTTAATATAGAAAGATTATTTTATTAATACTATTTTATTAATTAATTTAGTGCAGTGAGTTTAATGAACTCACTGCACTAAAAACGGAAGCAACATGTTCCCACTACCTTTTCTTTAGTGTGTGACCCCACTGCCCACCAAACAATAGGCTATGTGCTTTCTAACCTGCAGTTCACCCACAAGCACCTCAACCACCACCTCTCTGCATCAGTACGATCCGTTTTCTTGGGTTTCCTCTCAGTTGTTGCTGTGATTTATCATAAACAACCACTGATCAGCCGGCTCACATCTATGCATCAGCCTTAATGAAGTGCTTAGCACTGACCATGTATGGTTGGATGTGGCTGTGTAAAGGGTGGGATATGAGGTTGGTTCATGTGCGGACAATTCCAAGTTGATCTGGGAGTTATAAAAGGAAATTGCATACTGGCAGGCATACACATGGTTTTATAAATCAGAATATTATCTGCCATATGTACATTTCCTCATTTGTACATACGCAAACATTTAGTAAGGATTCTCTGCAGAGTTTTATTAAAGAGGTCCCTGTTGCCATACCCTGAGCAGCACGCATCCAAGGGGAAGCTACGCAGTGCTGAAAAAAATGTAAGCGTAAATATAGCTGGACAAAACACCAAGCTGGGGTGGCTCTCACTTTTGCTTGTGATTTTAACAGTGACCAACAATCCCTGCATAGTTTACCTTTAACAAGCAGAATTCAGCTCCTGAAATTCGGAAAGCAATCCACTACGTTGAGAGATGTATCACTTTGATGGAGCTGTTGGGACTACAAAAACACAAACCAGTTGTACAGTGACATTAGAAAATCAACTTTTAATGTATATTTGTTCATTTGCATTTATTTATTTGTTATTATTATTTATTTATTTATTCCAAGATTGTTAAAATATCTTGAAACTAGACGTTAATAAAAGAAAACGCAGAATATATCAGATGAGTGTTTTGTTGTCAAATGGCCACCTATGAAAATGCTACTTCCCATGTCTTTTGCATGTGCAGCGTGTTGTATTTGTTCCATCTGTAATTGCCCTGTCAGTAACAGTGTTGCTGAAGGGCTTTGGAGTGTAAAGCGAGGGCCCAGAGCTCGCTGGTGTTTCTCCTGCAGCAGTCTTTGGGCCTGCTGACCGCCAGCTGCAGGGTGGCAGACAGACAGCTCGGGCCTGATGTGTTGACAGGTCTTTGGAGAGGCCATGCCAGCGTCACAGTAGAGAAAGCCCTGCGGGGAGTCAGTCATACAGGCTGACATGTATTCCCAGCCTAGAAACACAGAAATGAATCAGATCTGACAGAAAACACGGTCACAAAAGCCTCATTTCCAAGAATGTAATACCTCTAAATGTGTCATACAAATGAATACAGGATGTTGGGTGAGAATTATATTTATTTAATTCAATTTAATTTAGCTCTATTTGACTTGACACAAATGTGAATCTAATAAAAAGTATCTGTTTGTCACTAATGTATGTGTGACTGTGTTTATACGTTAAAATACTGATGACAGCAGCTTTAACACACAGGCATTGAGAGTGGCGGCAATGATCAGTACTCTGTATATTTTCCATAATGCTGAAGTAAAATAAGGGCTGTTAAACAATTTTTCTAATTGCCATGAATCTTTGAATTTCATAATTTACTGATTAATTGCAATTAGAGTACATGAAGCAGAGCACTTAGTAAGTGCAGTAATGATAACAAACACTTTTTTTCTAATGGACTGATGTCTACACAACAGGCTTAAAGGTGTTTCATCCCTGATGATAAGACTTACCACTGTCATGTCATCAGCAAGTTAATAATGAGAGAATAGAGCACATCAGTACAAATCACTGGAGGACTCTAGTTCACAGTTTGTGCGTTATATGAATGTCACAGTCCTGGAAATACTCCAGAAATACTTCAAGGACATAAGTTGTAATTAAATTGAGTTCCCGCAAGCTTGGCTGACAGCTAACAGACTTATCACCATTACAGTACATTGTTTGCAGTCAATCACATTTGTTTGGACTTATTTTCAATGTAATTGGATCACTGACAGGCTTGTTAAAGTAGCTGTTTGTTCTCTCTATAACTCAAAACAAGATTAGGCGCACGTAGTTCAGCCAAAGTGCAAGTAGAGTGCTTGACATTTTATCCACAAATGGCACTGGATCCAGTTTTCACTGAAATTCTAGATAAGTAATCTCTACTTCCAAACACAAAAAACATGGTTTGTTAAAGGTATACTATGCAGGATTTACCTAAAAGAATAGTGTATCAACTCCCTGTCAGTCATCACTTATGACCCACAAGAAGTGTGTGGCAGTGTATTTATCTGCAGAGACTCTGCCCTCTGCCTGTATTTTCTTCCTGTTTTGTTATGTTTGGAACATTTGTAGGCACAGTGGTCAGGACCTTATAAAAAGGAGGCGACCAGTCCCAGACCGTGAACAGCACGCATCCCGGATGAAGCTACAAAAAACATGGACACAGCATGAAAAAAACAAAAACATGAATTCTTGCAAAGTAAACCTTTAAAGAAATACTTCAAAATGATTATTTGTATATCAATAATTCACCATGCATTACCTTGAATTTGTGAAGAAAAGTGAATGAAGAATCCAAAAAGGCTGAACATTCCTAGCCTGGAAATCCAGACCCAAATCTAGAGAGATTTAGGGTCTGGCCATGAGTAATGCAAATGGTCCAACTCGAGGGGCAGCACCAAGCATGCATTTGAAAATATCACTGCTTGCAATTGGATAACATTACGACCAATTACAACAATACACAGGGTGACGTATCCAGAGCTTAGCTACCAGCGGAGCTAACTGGTAGATTAGACTCTTGCCGTATCCGGTCAGCAAAACAGCAAAAACGTTCTTCTTGCAAAGGACAGATTCGAGCACTGTCTTCTGTTCCTCTTTTAGAGAAGAAGCCAAGTCTAACTCGTTCATTGTAGCGGCCAAAGCCATTTCAAACAACTGGTGTTCATCCGTAGCCATCTTGCAATGTTTACTGACTGATTCTGGACTTTGTCGTCGCAGCGCTGTCATCATCTGTTTAGCTCGCCTCTGGCCCACCTTTATCAGATACACTGATGTGATTGGTGCAGCTCGGCTCCAGCGGCATGGGTAATGAGCATCATTACTGATTGCCAGAGTGACTCGCTGAGCAAATTCAAATTGTGCTCTAGCGAGAACAGCAAAACTATATCAAAACATCTGCTTAGAAACTCTCAAACTACTCATACAGTATAATCCAAGGCTTTATTATCAAATCGTACGCTCAGTACCAAACACATGCATTTTTACTAAAACATCATAATCTGAAACACTTCTGTTTCAACTAGCGCGCCCTGAGCTCATTGTTTTCTGGTCTTGTTTTCAGTGATGTGCTTATTTGACTCTTTTTGGAGGCTGTAGTTTGTGGTGTTTTTGAATTGCAACGCATCATATTTAAACATGTCTGTATTATTTTATCTGTTCTTGTTTATGTTGATGTGTTTGCAGTAAACTGGCCACAAGTTTACTTTTTTACAGTTAAAGGTTTCCATAGGGTAGAGTTTTTATATTACAATTAAAATAGCATTAGATACTTGTCAGAATACTCAATGATCTTGCACAGTTTGTTCTCAGTGTATCATCATCTTTCGTCACTCCCACTCAGTAAAGCATTTCCACTTCATTAGTAGACTGACGTATCAGCTTCAGTTTTGCTGTCTCAGTGTCGAAACGCTCTTTTGAAGTTCTTTTCAGTGCGCCAAGAAATACTGCAGTCAAGTGTTTGTGACAGACAGCTTTTAATCAAGCTAAACTTGCTTTTCTTTTTCTGTCCCCACAGGCTGCTAGTCTCTTCTGCTGAGCGCTGACAGGACTGAGGATCTTTCCAGTTTGAGATCAACTGTCTCTATTTCAGCACTGTCTGCCTACTCCCATCCAATGGAATTAGACATTATTACTTAATTATTAGTGTCCTGGCAGCTGACTGGCTTTTCAGCACTAATATACTACCTTAAGTCTTGCTCTGTCTGGGGATAGAAGACCAGAAAGGAAAAAAAATAGGCACTTTACATTTGTAGCACCTAGTGGAATAAAAGCACATTAAATTTGAATTAAAAGACTTTTAGTGCCAGATATCCTTGTGCCAAGATGGACGAAACACGTAACAACAGGACTTCCTTGGCGAAAGGTGCCAAGGACATCGCTAAGGAAGCCAAGAGGCACGCTGCCAAAAATTTCAACAAAGTTGCTGATCGTGCCTCAGATGAATACTCAACTCATCGCAGCTACAACCGCTTCCAGAACGAGGACGAAGATGAGGACAACTACAATACTTACGGTCAGCAAGACGGTCGCTACGCTGACAATGCAGCCAACGAAGAGGATGGGGCCTCCAGTGATGCCACAGAGGGCCACGATGATGAAGACGAGATTTACGAGGGGGAGTACCAAGGCGTTCCAGGCCACAGTGATGGGAAGTTGCGGGACGGCCAGGTGGCTCTGGGCCAGCCGATTTCTGACAGCCTAAAGAGCCGCAAGGAGCTGGAAAATGAGAGACAGGCAGATGAGGAGGAACTCGCCCAGCAGTATGAGCTGATCATGCAGGAGTGTGGCCACGGAAGATTCCAGTGGCAGCTGTTCTTTGTTCTCGGGCTGGCGCTCATGTCAGATGGCGTGGAGGTGTTCGTAGTGGGCTTTGTCCTACCCAGTGCTGAGACAGACATGTGTGTCCCCAACTCTGGTGCTGGATGGCTTGGTAAGCATTTGCATTATAGTAAAATGAGTTATTCAGTATCCACACGCTTCTGAGTTGTTTTTATTTTAATGATAATAATAATGATAACAATAATAAAACTAATGATGATAATAATAAACTATTTATCTTAACACATATTTTAACACAGATACATTACAAACTCTACTGTGTCTCACCTGCTTGGTACCGACCAAACAATCAACAAACAAGATATCTACTGTTAGCTAGCAGCAAACTGATACCATGATGGACAGTTTTACAGCTCTGTACATTTCGTACGTGCTGTATGCTTTACTTTTTCTTTTTCCTATCTTCTTTTGTTACATATTTAATGCTTTCGACTTTCGGGTCAAAGCCCAGGGCGGAAACTGTGGAGCATGGGTAGAGCGCCTAGGCCAGTTTGGGTCAGATTGACTGTATACATACAGCAGGAATTCAGCTCCCATTTGCATTATTTGGATGTGTTAGTCCTCAGTGTTAATTTCATTGCCGAAATTTTTTTGTCAATAGCCTTTTTTCCATGACGAATATAAGAAGATAACGAGCTAAAAATATATCTGGATAATATAAACTAAGACCAAATCCATGTTTCATTTTTGTTGACAAGAAGAGAATTGATGAAAATATTAGTGGTGGACTATCAGACATTTAAAGCCGAGAATGGCTGTACTTACTATTATATTCAAATGCCACATGAACAACAGGCAGGCAAACTCTAGTAAATGGTCTGCACCAGGATGTTTCACTAGCCAGCAAAAACAATCACACCAGAGCAGCATTGACTGTTGGTGCGAGTTGTGAGCTGTAATTCAGCAGTAGATAATCAGCTGTGTGTGTGTGTGTGGCTGTGGATGGTCCAGCTGAATGATTCTGTGGAGTTTGGTAGTTGCAGCAATGGCTGTTAGCAGTTAGCAGTTAGCTCCACTACTAAGCCACTGAATGGCAGTGGAGCAAGCAGCCACCATCAGCTGGACTCAAGAAAGGTGATGGGTTGATGCTTTTTGACAGGCAGGTAGGAGGCTCAGTTATCTGTGAGTGTGGCTGTGCTGTAAGTAAACAGTCTGAAACAGATGAAAGTTTAGTTTAAATCCCAACTCTGTGAGAGGACACAAGACTAACATGTTGCAGATTAAGAAAGAATTCAGGCTTTAATTAAGTTATTTTTCGGCTTCTTAACAGTGAGATGGATAAGTTAGAGTTTACAATAAACCTAGGTACAAATCCTACTTGTCTCAGATTAGTTACGTGTGGTGCCAAAGTTTTTGAGAGCATAAATAGAGAGATGTTGAGCTTTTCAAATGACGATCAGTAAATGTGTGCTCCTAAATCACCCCTTAAACCTGCTGGAGAAATTATTGGAGTTTGTAAGTGTGTAGAAAGTATTTGTACTTGTAGGAAAAAAATGTCTAAATGAAATTTTTGTACAATCTGTCTCAGTGGTTATAATTTCTGATACATGAATTAGCCAAACTGGATTAGTTTACCATTACGCCATTACAGTACATTGTTTGCAATCAATCGTATTTGTTTGGACTTATTTTCAATGTCATTGGATCACTGACGGGCTTGTTAAAGTAGCTGTTCCTTCTCTGTATAAATCAAAACAAGATTAGGTGCACAAATGGCACTGGTATGTTAAATACTATGCAGGATTTCCCTAAAATTAATAGTGTATAGACTCATACAAAGTAATCCCTTGTCAGTCATCACTTATGAACAGTGTTGGGTAAGGGTTACTTTAAAAGTAATCAAAGTACGTTACTGCGTTACTTTTAAAAAAAGTAACCAGTTACTTTACTGCGTCACTCCCTGAGTAAGGTAACTCAATTATTTCAAAAGTACTTCCAATGTTACTCCCTGAGAAAAGTAACTCAAGCACTTTTAAAGTACTTTTGAGTATTCTACATTTCCTATTGGGCAATGGACCACAGGGCGCTAAGCCTACATTTTTTTGTCTCCAAAATTAAAGTTATGGACCACTTGCCCTTCACTGAGATCCAGTTCTCCCATCACAGCCGTCACTTTGACCAGGAGAAACACAGAACGATCTGCTGCCGTAGACAACTGTATGACAACAACACCCCAGCATTTTTAATATTAGATAAGATACAGTATAAGATATAATATAAGATACAGTAGCTTGACAGTTTACGTATGGCACTTCAAATGTAGCTCCTGCCATCTGCTGACGCTTTAAGGTGACTACAACAACATGTCGGCTGGCACATGAACAGACACAGTGACTCAAATAATAGTAAAATAAAAATAGGACAAGAATAACCCGATGACATCACACACACCGTGAAAGACGACCAGGGAGTACCAGCGTGTAGTGTGTACCAGGCATAATACAAGTCCTGAGTCTGAAATATGTCTGTCAGCGAGTCCTACTCCACCTATTTAGACTCCACCGTAGACAACGGGAGCATTTCTCCGACCACGTAGCGAGCCACAAGCTCCGTGGCTTCTTTCAGACTGATAGGTTTAACGTTATCTCCGTTATGAGAACCAAACGATAGCCGTTGCTGTTTTGGAGCTGAAGGACCAGCGTTCTAAAAGTAACGGAAGTAAATGATGTCTTGTTTGAAAATGTACATAAGTATTTCATTACTCAAACAGCAAACTAACTTAGGTTACTCGTTACTGCAATAAGTAATCGGAGTACTCTAACGCGTTACTTTGTAACGCTACGTTACTTTGTAACGCGTTATACCCAACTCTGCTTATGAACCACTAGAAGTGTGTGGCGGTGTATTTATCTGCAGAGACTCTGCCATCTGCCTGTATTTCCATCTTATTTTGTTGTGTTCGGAACGTTTGTGGGCACAGCGGGCATGTGAGGTCAGGACCTTATAAAAAGGAAGCGATAAGTGGAAGTATATGGAAGCAATGTGCTTCTTGAAATCCTCTACGACAGAGAGAAGGTATATCCAGAAATGCACACCAGCTATGATGATGCTTGCAATGCAATTTAATAACCGCTGCTGCTGGTTTTGCTGCTGCCCCAGTCTGCAGCACACTGCTTAGCTTCCGTGGAGGTACTCCTGCTTGTCTCTCAAACTCAGGACACACTGACCTACTATCCACTCTACTGTAGGTAATGCACTGACTACGGATAAGTACCTCATATCTTTAAGAAAGCATCTAAGCCTCAAATTTACAGTAATCATCTTAATTGGATTACAGTGTACTTAAAGTGACAGCCTAACATAATGTGATGGAGAACAGTACTGCCTGTGTTAAGTGGAGGAAGCAGCACTGCACTTCATCAGGAATATTCTGAATCTGTATGTGAACAATGTGACTGTCATAGAGGCAAGACCTTGGCTGTCCTGTTGATGAGTGACACTGAGAAATCCTGACTTTCAGGTGTAGTGAGCCATCTGGAAATCAGGTGTGGATTCTGGTTGATGTAGTTAGATGAAAATAAAATACATGGAGTTACAGAGTGGTAGAAATACGTGGGTGTTAATGAAATTAGTTGCGCTGCTAGCAGCCTTCTAATGATGCGTGTTGTTTATGACATGCAGGGCTGTGCATGGAGAGTAGGGGTGGGTGACACTTGCAACTGTAATCGCATTGCTTTAGGAGCTTGCCAGTGGGTTGTCATGGCACCAGGTATTCGGATACATGAGTAGGAGGTGTGTTGTGCTACTGTACAAGGATCTCTCCCACACTCGTGAAAAGTTGTGTGTTTGTGTATGCCACCAACGGGTCTGTATGTCTGAGTATTGTGTGTCTGTTTGTGTTGTGTGTGACTTGGCTTTAATAAATGTCTCACTAATATCAAAAATAGTTGCATAGCACTGGCAGATTTTTCTCAATGTATACTGTGTCTAGGCTTAGTGTTAAATTAAAGCATCAGTCACTTATAATTTCCACAGAAAGATTAAAAGATTTTCACAATATGATTGTGTGGTTTTATAACCCAGAGGAGAATGCGTACTTTGTTTGTTTTTTGGGGAGTGGGATGTTTTAATATTCACCCAGATTTCACCCATATTCTGACTCATCTCTCAGTGGGAGCCAGGAGGCAAAGAATAGAAAGAATGAGTCATTTTACCAACTCAGTCACACACCGCATAAATAAAGGATGTGCGTACATGCTCACTTGTGGATGCACTTAGAGGAATAAATGTTACAGAATAGATGTGATTGGTGTTTTTTTTACATTTCTCTGTGAAGGTCAGCACCTCTGTAAGTGGTCAATGAGAGCCTCTTTAGTGGACATCTGGCTGGAAAAAGACTCATGAGAGAAATAGAGGAAAGAAAATAGAGGAACTGATACAGAGATTATCCAGCACAGTCAAATCTGGTTTCAGCCTAGTCTTAAACTCAAATGACACTGCATGACCTAATGCTTTTAGTGTAACAAGTGCATAATTTATTCACATTAAATCATTCCTTGTTGCAAGTAGTTGAAGAGCAGTTCATGTGCATAGAGAAACAAGCAGCTGTAGTAGCAGAGTATCTAAAGTAGCAGACTGGTACATGAGGATCATGTTCTTTGTAGTGCATCAATTACTTGCACAAAAATGGGGGGGGGGGATTCAAATGCTGTGTGAGGACCTAACAAGCACTTTATTTGAGGTATACTGATTCCTATAATCTGACATTATGAGGAGAAATGGGGAAACATTCACATGAATACTTTTAAAGTATTTTCAAGATTGATGCATAAATGGATATGGATATTTACCTCTTAAAGCTGGGGTAGGCAGTTTTATTGTGGATCCATTGGGCAAAAATCCCATAATAACCTTTAAACATGTTGCAAATCAAGAAAAGTCTAGACATCTGCACCTCCTCTTGGTTCTGTTTTCAGGGCTTAGAAAATCTATTGGCTGATCTACAAATGTGTACACATCCCTTTAGTGAAAGCCTGATTCAATGGCAGACAGTCCTGCAGAGAGAGTTGTTATTGCAGCATTGGCAGCAACTGCGTACACTGCAAAGCAACCCAATAAAGGAAGACAGACATATCAAAGAGATAGTCTAAA